TGTTAATTGTGTGAAACTGTTAAAATTGGTCGTATGTGCTTTATTAATGTTTTGTCGTTTCAAGCTGTTTAATTCAGTCTTGGCCCTTGATCTCTGTCAAATCAATGGCTAAAATCTTCTCTGGTGGTCAACATATAAAAGTAAAAGTTTGCACAGTGGGATGCTGGGAAAATTCGCGATCAAATCTCTTTGTTGTGGTTCTTAATCTCAATATTCTCTTGTGTAAATTGGGTTGTAATCCATCCAAAAGTGTGTTTTCTTTTGTGAGTAGAGAATCGGAATAGGCTTCTCTAGAGGATTGTAGATTTACGGTAACAATAGTTGAAAGGTTAAGGTTCTTGAAAGTGAGTGTTTGAGCTAGAGTTTAGTGTGTTCTTGAGGTTTGTACTAAGTGATTCTATGATAATAATAGTGCAGCGAGCCTTCATATTCTGAGCTCAACGTGGACATAGCTTGTTCAATCTTGAAACAGTGAACCACGGTAAAAGATCGTGAGTTGTTCTTTCTTGTTTTTATCTTTGTTTGGTTGGTTAGAATCTTGATTTTTGGTTAGGTAGACTCGGTTTTATATAGGTGTATTCTCGAGAGGTCCTGAGTTCAGTCTTGGTTCAGTTGCTAATAAGGGTAGCCACTAAAACTCTTTTCAAGACCCTGAGGGGTTAGTTAGGTACGCTTAAATTGCCTGAACACCACTGGTCATAAAAAAAATGAAAGTATGTATAAAATGAAAGCTTCTAATCTCCAAGCAGCTTCGATTGAAGCTGGTGAAAGTAAAAAATGACTTGAATTACTTCCTCATCAAACAGCTTCTAATGAAAGCTTTTTCCGAATTTCTCTAATATCAATCCATGCACTTAAAACATCCCACCAGCAAGAAAGCAAAATACTCTTCAAACTCAGCTTTCAATTGTTCATATCGAGATCATTCAATATGTTTTTTCTATCAAAAGCATGCCTTTAACAACCTCATTTCTCTCAGCATACACTGCCTTCACAGCACAGCAATGCTGGTTCGTACTGTGATTAACGAAGTTCAGAATGTAACCAACCAGATATTACCCAAGCAACTCCAGCTATGATGTTGTCCAAACTTGGAGGCCTTTCGAAATCCTTCTCTCAAAGAGCTCTCATAATTGGTGAGTGTAATGGGTACTCAATCAACCATTGGACAATTAGCTTCTGTCACTTGCGCACAAAATCACTGCGTCCCTGGAGAGACTTAGGTGTCCAAACACACAAAGATAAGAAGCTCTCAGACAATCAACAAAGGTGAAAAGATCATTGACATATTCGAAGGTAATCCACCTCGTGTGGAAATGGCTTGTAGGAAACAAAAGAGGCATCTCGAGATGGGAGGTTGGAAAAGCGAGTAGTGGAGCTCAGTTTTATAAGTACATGGAGAAGGTATTGAGCATTTACTCGCCTATGTAATGGAGAGATCAATAACAATGGTGAAGCTCTATCCTTAGGACATTTGGTGGGACAACGATGGAGGAGCATGGGATTCAACCAATCTTGACCATCAGCCACTCTGACAAGATTGCAATGGACCCACCACTCAAGAAGGAACTGGTAGATGACTTGGACAGATTTGTGAGAAGAGAAACCTCTATAAAAAGGTCGAACGCGTAAGGCATGGAACGTGGATACTTATGATGGCCCCCGGTACCGTAAGTCAAGCTTGATCACGGCCATAGCCAACTACTTAAATTTAATATCTATATTTGGAGCTTGAAGTATTTACAATAATTCGGAACTTATAAGATTTCTGCTGTCAACCTCAAACGTTCATACTAGTGATTGAGATAGTTGCAGCTTGAGTGCAAGATGAGAAGCGAGATGTAAGGATTGGCACCAGGTTTCTTAATTTTTCATTGACTGTGGTCAAGCTGCGGTGATGAGAGAATAATTCTATTTACCAGCAACCACAAGATAGACTACCATGCACTGATAAGCAGGCGTTGGCGTGCACATCACATGCCCTACTGCAGTCCAAGTGTCAGTTTAGTTTCGAACTACTTGGGCATCACTATCAGTTCTTTCCTGAAATTGATGAATTGATAACGAAGTGGAACTGTGGAAGTAACACCGGCAGAGATTGCAGAAGACCTCATGAGAATGAAATGTTGATGTTGCTCTTGAAGGATATCAAGTTTCTCCAAATGAAGAAAACAGTTGGTGCAAAGGAGCCAAGAGGGAAGCTGAGATAAAGGTGAATATGTTCTTGATAATAATGAAGGGCAAAAAATGATGAAGGCGAAAAATAGGCCGGCTGGTCGTGCAAGGGAGAACAATTAAATTTAGCAAGGATTTAAGTGCTTCAAACCATGAACCACCATGCAAAGTTATGCTAATGTCTAGGCCTTGATCTTGAGTCCATACCCAATAAATCATGTCATTACAAACAGTGATGTCGAATAAATTTCATTGATCATGCAATAATGTATTTACCTCTATACCGTGCGATTTAGTCCTCCTGTCGGATACAAAATGGCAAAAAAAAAAGGCCATTTTTTTGTGGAGAAAAAATTACGCCCACCGTGGGGCTCGAACCCCGACCACAAGGTTAAGAGCCTTGCCCTCTACCAACTGAGCTAGACGGGCATTGAACAATGTAAAATACAATAATAATCAAGATTTTCAAAAGCAACTCTCAAGTTCCTCCTAACAATGAGTTAGACGGGGAATTTTGAATTCAAAATACAGGTAAAAATAAGTTTTACATTCTTGATCATACCGAAACAACTATATTGTTATATAATATTAGCTTCTAAGACATTAATAATTCCATGAATTTTCACTTAGTAGAATCAACCAGCTTAGCGTGTATGAGATGTGAATCTAAAGGCTTCCGTTATGAAATACATGATACTATGTATTCCCCCCCCAGAGAGGAAGGCCAAGAAAAGAAACAAAATCCTTGATTACGAAGGCTGTACATCTCCTCTACGAAACCAAGAAAATTATGCCCCTTGGAAAGGGACAAAAAGAACTAGAAAAGAAGATACAGAAAATTTACAACAGGAGCACCTTAACATTGAGAAAGTGAGTAGCTCTTGCTCTTCCAGAAAAACTAAAGCCTCCCCCATCTTTTTCTTGAGACCGATTTACATAGTGGTTTTGATTCAGGAGAAGGATCAGGTGCGGCAGCAAGTGTTGGTGTGGTCTTTTCGCTATCATCACCTGTTGTCTAATGTCAACAGGAGGATGATCTCGTTGCCGTTGCTCCCGGAACAGCATCAAAAGTTTTTGTGCTTTATCTCGCTCTTGTGGTCCCATTCACCGAATTGACAGTGCAGTATACACCCTCTTGTAAGACCATTTGACAGCACTTCTCACTCCCATTACACAAAAGAAAAGGCATGCACAGCTTGCTCCTGTTCAATGGCTTCTCCAGTGTCTAACACCGTTGTGCAAGTCCAGCAATTAGGCCAGGGGCTGAAAGCATCTCGTTTTTTTCCTGCTTGACTTGAAGCCAAATTTAGCAAAACACCAAGGATTTTTCTGTCCACATGCGGTCACCAGCAATGCTAAGATTGGAGGCCACAAAATACCAGCAGAAAGAAGGTTTGGAATATTGGAGGGGACTGGAAAGGTTGAAAGGGCATGAAGGGCACAAGCTTGCATGGTACTTCAGTTTTACCTTTACAAAGCTGAACTAAAAATTGGACAGCCTGACTAGAGCCAATTATGGACTTGGCATCTTCAAAGCAGGAAGATTCAGATAGACAGCTGTGCTGATCCATGAGAGTTGGGTGTTGAGATCATTTTCTCCAGCAATTGAATTATTCCTGTTGCTAACATCAATTCCTTGTTCCTGAAATCACATATAAATAAATAAGCAAAAAAAAGAGTAGTGACATCAAATTATCTACATGTTCTAAATAATAAGATATGGCTATGTTCTCTCCACTAACGATGTATTTGGTCTCTCCATACAGGTAAAAAACATTGAATGACAGGCTATCATGACAGCAAAAAGCAAAGAACATTCTGTTAAATTCCAAGGAAGAGGACTCTGTAATACTTCTTTATATTGAGTCTAACACTTCAAAAATAAAAATAGAGGTTTGCGTGAATCTAAAATATTCTCAACTCTCATCATTCAAACAAAGTTGACAATAAGAGAAGAGAAACAAGGCAAAAGACCAAAACTATCTAGAATGCCAGACGAGAAACTAGAGTAAACAGGATCAAGCTTATCACAGAAGTGAGTGCAAGCAGCTTAGCTGAATAATAATTGCAAGAAACATCTAAAAACACATCATAATCTAGGGAATTCTTCATTCTTCTGTACTGTTCTTTTATTCTTACATGTCTTATGTCAGCTACAGGCCACATTCATTACTACCAATTCGCCAACCAAGGCAGGTAATTAACGCTTTAAATCTAGGGAACATTAGACAAGAGCACAAACCTGTTATTGTTGACAGCAAGGTTAAAAAGAGCCTTGCTCCAATTTCTTGAGCATAAGAATCTCTCTGATGCCCAGCTGACTCTAGAACCTCAACAGTGCTTCAACAAACCCATTTGCCCCCACAAAATTCTGGCCTCTTCATCATCCTTCAGCAAGAGCCGTATTTGTTCTACAACATTGCATTTCTTTCTCAAGTCTTCTTCTCCATTCAAGACATTCAGGAAATCCTGAATCTTTCAAGCATATTAACTTCAACTCTCTCCTGGACATATGCATTTTCAAGTTCACAGTATTCCGACTCCTCGATAGTTCCACTCTCCTCCCAGGGACAACCTTCACCTCCTTCAACTTATAAGAATCATAAAAAATAAAGTAATGTTGATCTTGATTTATCATAGGCAAATTAATCTAAACTTAGAACTCCCAAGAATCCGGCTCGTTTCAATAGTTGTGAACTATAAAATTATCTGTCAAACGAAGATGAAGATATACAACAACATTTGTTAGATTCTAAAAGTCAAGGGGGGTTCAGGTATTCCATCATCTAATTCGGTTGGTCAAATTCCATATTTTATTACTGAGATAGTTTGTAAAGCCATGAAGATAATCAACCACTTCAAATACCAAAGAGTAATCTTCACATATACAGGTCCTGAATCTGCATATGACAACACTATGACTGCAAATCACAACTAATACTATCACCTTTTTCAGCTGCACCATCTTTTCTTGCTCCTGCCACAAAAAACAAATTTGCAATGCCCCAAATAACAATTCAATAATCAACCAAAAAAAAAGTTGGTATTTAAATCTTGAGTTTCAGTATCTTACAGCTTGGATGGAGTTCCACCAACTGGATTGCGCAACACATCATAGTGTCCATAGCCATGGTACTGGACACGTATTGGGTTCTCCTTGCCATATTCTTGACCATATTCAGCTATAATTTTGAGGGTACCAGAAGTTTTGTCGCGCATGTAAACTGTAATTGGCATCCTAAAAGTAGAAGATTATGAGATTATAAAAATGTAAAAGAGTAAAGAGATTCAAAATCTAATACTAATAGCTTCAAGATTAGAAACTTACTTGAGCACATGAGAAGACATTAGCAGCTCAGGTTCTCCTCCCCAAATGTGTGGCTGCCGCATCTGTACAACATATGTGTCAAAATCACCTTCCACAAACCTGCCAATGGATACAAAATTTACTTGCTTTTAAGAAAAATGGGTAGCCATAATTATGTATTCATTAAGATTTGATCAATTTTGTAACATAATTATACACCTAAAATCCTAACCTAACGAAGACCCATATGCCCAAACAAAAAATTGACATAAACCTCCTTAATTGGCATTATTCCCTGTTAAAAAGGCGAACCCATTTTGGTTGGAGGAATGCTTGCTGCAGCTAGGGATGTAGCCAGGATTTTGAGTGAGTGGGTTCAAAATTTAGGAATTTAATCTTCCAATTTCAAACTCATTTATTAAACTCAATAAAATCCTATAGTTTATAATTCTTCATTAATTAAAAAATCTAAAAAAAGAAGCCTAAATCTTATAACTAAGCGCTTTTCAAACAATTTCTATTAACTCAATAAAATTCAACTCATAAACCCATGAAAACTCATCAAATTCAATTATGAATATCAAACAGTTAACCAATATATCAAAATTAAATCAAATCTCTAAATCTCTATAACTTAGGGTTTCATCAATTCTTTAAACCCATTCAAAATTAACTCAACAACTTATTAAAATTTATCAAACCCAACTTAAAACAATAATTAATTAACACATACCTCAATATAAACAAGATTAAATCAAAACTACGTCAAAATTTGAGAATTTAATTTTTCAATGTCAAACCCATTTAATAAACTCAATAAAAACTCATAACTCATGATCTTTTATCAATTAAGAAAGTTAAAAGCAAAGAATTTAAGAAATAAATAAACATTTTTTAGTAATCCAACAAAAGGAAGAAGAAAGTATAAGAGAGCAAAAGAGGAAATAAAGAAAGAGAGAAAATGAAAAAAAAGTTTTAATTAATACAAATTTTTGTGAGGTTAATATGAATTTAAGTGGGGGCAAAAATTATAAATTCTATAATATATAAAGGTTTTTTTTATTTTTTGTTTTCGAAAATTGAGTGGGTTCAATTGAACCCACAAGTGTGAGTGTGGCTACGTGCCTAGCCGCAGCGGTGGAAAAAGGATGTCCTAGCAAGCGTGAAATCAGATCAAAGAACTCATCGACGCGGCAAAAGAAAAGTTTGCTGCGGCGTGCAACCTACGACCTGCATTGTGCCATCTACGGTGTGCGTTGTACAGTTGTGAAGAAGATTGGATCACTCAGGTTTTGGACAATAGTTGGGTTCGGTTAAGGAAGTTCAATTGTTAAACTGATATTTAGCTATGTGATATTATCATGTTTAGGTATTTAATGTTATTTAAACTCAAAAGAAAAATGCTACGTTTGCAATTCAATCTCACAATCTTCTCTTACAACCCTAACGTGACAACAGATTGACACTGTCATGCCAGCTCCCACTACACCTACGGCATCAAAGGCACTACTAGAAACGAACGGTCGTTTCTTCATAAGGAACGGTGTTTCTTATAAGCATTATGAAGGAACAACTTTCTTAAAGAACAATCATTTCTTTGGTTGTTCCTTCATAAGGAACAACCATTTCTCACGAAGGAACGAATTCCTTCATAAGAAATGGGCGTTCCTTATGAAGGAATGATCGTTTTTTTGGTCTAGTCAAAATCATTTTGACGTGACAGTGCCACCTCAGCTACCACTTCGGGATTGTAAGAGAAATTTGTGAAAAAAGGTTGTGGGCGTAGAAAGTACTATAGATGTATGTGTGAAAAATCCTATTGTATAAAGTGTTATCCCTTCGGTAAAAAGTCTTGTTCATCACTTTCGTTGTGCTGCTCATAAACAGAAAATATAGCTTCCAATTCCAACATTCCCACATAACCTTTCAAGTAAATATGGGATATAAAATTTTACCATTCAGTGTCTGCCCTTCTCTTAACGAATTCGTCTGCTACCTGTCCCAAAATTATGAAGGTTTTGTGTGAGATATGTGAAAACAGAATGGAATTTGATCATTTACAATGGAAAAACAAAGACGAGAAAGTGAGAACTAAACAAAAGAGAATTCAGCAAAAAAGGCAATTTTTTTTTGTAGGGCATTCAGAAATAATTAGAAAGCTGAAACGTGCAAAAAAGTAGCATCCATGAGGCTCATGACCAAAGAATAATATTAGAAAACATGGAGTCTACTGTGTACTTTATGTCTAAGCTCATCTGCAAGTTCCTTTTGAAGGCTGTCGCTCGGTGATTGCTTCCCTGCTCTCAACCAGGCGCCGTGAATTACTGACCGGAATAGGCACCTTCCATCTCCAGGTATACCTGAATTCAAACAAGCATAACAGGATGTCACAATACAGAAAGTTTAGCAAATTCAAAGACCCAGAAAACATATTCTACTTTCCCCCATAAAAACATTTCTCAAGAATTCATCAAAGTGCTTCATTTAGATCATAATTTAAAGAACGATGAACGAACCTTCGCCATCGTCCATATTATCTACCAGGGGTTTACAGAAGCTAAGAGAAGAATAAAACCCCACCAATACAAATAAAATGGAAATCACGACTTTGATGAAAACTACAAGAAGCATAAAAGAAAGCTGCAAATGCAAGCAAAGAATAAAGTTGAAAGCAAATTCAAGGAGAAAAGCATATGAAGGCTTAACACACGCAAAGAAAAAACAAAAACAAAAAAAATCCATTTCTTTGCTTAAGAGAAGACATGACCGTTTTCATTTCAAGCAAACAATTTTAATTATTCCATAACCACGAGTAGAAACTTAAACAAATTACAAGTTAAAAATTTCATCAAACCCATACGAATTTTTTGAAACTGAGACTGGTTGTTACCAATCATAGATCCTGAATTTTGCAGTTTCATGTTGCAAAAAATTGAGAAATTCTATTCCATTGGTGAGTCCTGATTGATTACCAAATTGAAGCTCATTAAGTGGATGTGATGAGTGAACAAAATTGCATGCTAAAAGCTTTTTGGAGTTTCTGGTGTGAAAGCGAGCATCAGAGAATAGAATTTGATGCCCTATCAGCAAACTGGTCTTGTCCATTTGTTGCCAGAAATTGAATGGAATCCTGACTTCAACTTAACCCTCTATATTGCACAAGAGTAAACGACCTTTTTCCGTCCCAAGGTTTGCCTTAATGACACTTTCCCACATAAAAAGTTTTAAAATACCACTTTCTCATCCAAAGTTTATATTCTGACCAATCATTGGCGATTCCGGTATCTTTGCAACCCACGCCACCACTATTATCTTTCCTGATCATCACTCACTAAAACTCCTCAAACCTTATTTCCGTCAACCCCACCAATTGTTGGCAATTGAGCGATTTGTGTAACGTGCAACTCAATAACAGACCCATGATTTTTGTCGAGGGGGAGCCTCTGCGGCTCGACCATTGTTTGTCAAAGAATTAGTAAAAACTTTAAAAAATCACCAAACCTTAAGCAAATAAAATAATACAATATCAAAACCTAAAAGAAAATAATACAATGCTTTTCTACTTAAATAAATCTATGAGAAGCAAAATTTTGAGTACATGTATTGAGTAAACCTTGAGCAAAACCTGCTTTTTATTTTTTTTATTTTTGGCTTCCAAAGATTATAATATAAATTTTCATGAATTTAATCAAACCTAGCCTAAGCTAAAGTCAACCAAAACTTAAATCAAGCCAACATTGTATTGACTTTTAATATGAATTAATAAAATAAAGGAATTTTCTTGGTACAAACATAGATAGTAACTTAATTTTTTTTAATAATTTTGAGTAGTTGAACGGTAACATTTGAAATATAGGAAAGTGGTGGGTGAAAGGTGAAGAATAGCGTCCTTTAAAATATAGTTAAGGTTTTAATTTGAGAAAGCATGAACACTGATCTTAGAAACAAAACACAAAATAAACTCACAAGATCCATGTCTTTTTCCTTCAAATTAGAATAAAAAACCTCCAAAAAACAAGCATGATTCAACCCTAAAATAAACTAAATTGAAATGAGCAATACATATACGTAAAACTGATACAATAGAGAACAAGGCTAATTGTGGCACCTTGAGTAGAGAAAACTTCAATAATTTCAGTTTTCAAAAGTTTTAAGAGCGAATAGCATAAGAAAGAGAATAAGAGAGTAAAAAATTTTAGAGATAAAATCATAAGAAGCAGGTGGAGCCGTGGAAAAGAAAAGTGGAAAGAATTTTAAACTTTTAACATAATGTGGGCTTGGAATATATAAATTAATAAGAAGTATTTTTGTGAGCTTGGATATATGTATAATAATTCTCATTTAAAAAAAAAAAAAAAAAACATGAGAGTAAGTCTGAGTATATATATTAATAACACTTTTTTGTAGGCCTATATATTAATAATTTTTTTTTTAAAATATGAGGGTAGGCCTACCCTCAAAGGGGCTAGATCTACCTCTGGCTCAACTGTCCCTCTCAAGTCAAATTCTGATCAATCCCAATTATCAAAATCCAACATGTCACCACCAAAAGAATCATGACATCCCTTCTTCAAAAACGTCAATAGCTTGGGTTGAGTTTTCTCTATGTTGGCCTCCGAATCGAAAAGTGTATTTTGGATGGTAAATAAAATATAAACTTTGGGTGGGAAACTGTCATTATGGAAAACTTTGGGTGGGAAAATGTAGTTTACGCTATTTTGCACTTTTGCTGACCAAAATAAAAATGGTGGTTTTACGTGTGTCGGATTCTTATTGGACCAACAGTGAACTTTATATTCCCGCTAAAATTTGTAACAGCCGTTCATTTTTCCACTATTAGCACGGGACAATAAACACCTGCAGGCAAAAGTTGCAGACTTATTTTGTATTATCAGTTTAATTAGTGGTAGCTATTTGCACCTAAAATTGAAATTTTAGATTTCTCTTTATAAAAAGAAAATCCATCAGGTTTTGCAGGGCAAGCAAAATTTTATTTTCTTTTCAATGGTATGAGTTTCTTCTCGAATTTGAAAAATGTTGTATAATTTGCAGTATATAATGAATTTTGATTGACAAACTTGACTTGAATTTCTCAGGAATCAGGAGTAACCAGCAGGATGAATTCTAGGAGCCGTCCGTTGCATACCTGTGGAGTTGTAATCTCATCAATTGTTCAGAGAGTCTATGCAAGATCACAAGGTTTGAACGGACCATTAGGTTCAATAATTAGAACATTATTAAGATTAGCCCAAATGGCTAATCCATTTATGCATGCCCTGGAATATAAATGGTTAGCCATCCTGTACTTTTCTGATTATTTGATTCTAGCTTTTGAGAGCATATTTGAGACTCTTTTCCCACCATCAAAACATGTTTTCAACAAGATTGACGAGCTCGTACAAACTGCAGAAACACTGCCAGGGAAATTTGATGAAGCTATAAACAAATTTCCTGGCCACGTTCCGGTGCTAGATTGGGTTCTGATTCAGATCATCTCATGGCTGAATTTTGGGATTTCTACGTTGAAGCATTGGGGGTTTGAAAATGCAAAGGAAAAGGAGATTGTGATGGATGTTTCTAACAGCAATGAATTGTCTTCAGCTCAGAAACATCAATCACAAGACGCTGAAAATGACACAGTTTTTATGACAAATATTAAGAAACATGACATGAAGGGTACATACAAGGAAGCTCTAGAGAAGGGAAGAAAAGAAAATGGCATCGAAAAGAATAAGAAAGAGAAGGAAAACAAAGATGGTGGCACAATGAAAGAGACTGATCAGAAACATGCGATTGGTGACAAAGAAATTGGATATGCAAAAGTTAGTAGAAGCGAGGAAAACATAACCGCAAATGATCCTATTTTAGAACTGTTCGAGTCAGGATGGCTTACGAATGCAGCAAGAGATGATAAAGGAAATTGGTTGTCACGCTCTGTTTCATACACAGGCTGAGATGAAAAGATGGAACTGATCGATGAAAGAACAGCTGTTGCTTCAAAACTTTGAACGTTCAACGGCAGAGTCATTTTGTGTATTTGGTAGATATTTTTAGCGCAATTTTTACCCTGAAACGCATTAGGGTAGTCAATGTCTTTTATATTGTGCAGTAAGTTTAAATGTAATATATGGTTAAGAACTTGTACATGGAGTTAAAGAGAATCGGGTTTTGATATATATATATATATATATATATATATGAGTAATACTATACCAACAACCATTTTTCACAAACTTTCTCTCACAACCCTAATGTGGCAGCTCGCAATTAGTCAGTTTGCAATTATTTAGTGAGACCCATATGGGATCCGTTGTAAACTGACCAATTGCAACATGTCACGTCAGGGTCGTAAGAGAAAATTTGTGAGAGAGAATTATTAGTGTAGTATTATTCTATAAATATTTATCCCACATTATACAATATTGAGAGATGTGAAATCCAAGTCATGAAAGATTGAAAGCAGATGATAATATGACTAAGTAATCAAACATAAGAACCACATATCAAAAACTGAAAATTTGAAAGATAAATTTAGTTGCTGTGTAAATTAACTAAACTTTTAGACACATCATCTTCATAAATCAAATAGGCCTTTGTTGCCAGGCTTTTTTTTTAGGTAAAAAATTAGTTGTAGTAATAAGATTCCAAGTCAACTGCTTTCAGGTGATCGAGTGATTCGATATGGACTTTTGAATGTGTTAATGTGTGAAACCGTTAAAACTGTGTCGTATTGTACTTTATTAATGCGTTGCCGTTTCAAGCTATTTAAGTTCAGTCTTGGCCCTTGATCTCTGTCCAATCCAACAGCTAAAATCTTCTTTGGTGGTCAACATATAAAAGCAGAAAGTTTGCACAGTGGGATGCTGGGAAAATTTGCGATCAAATGCTCTTTGTTGTGGTTCTTAATCTCAGTCTGTTCTCTTATGTAAATTGGGTTGTAATCCATCCAAAAGTTGTGTTTCTTTTGTGAGTAGAGAATCAAGAATAGGCTTCTCTAGAGGATTGTAAATTTATGGTAACAATAGTAGAAAGGTAGAGGTTCTTGAGAGTGAGTGTTTGAGCCAGTGTTTGAGCCAGAGTTTGAGTGTGTTCTTGAGGTTTGTACTCAGTGATTCTGTGATAATAATAGTGCAGCGAGCCTCCATATTCTGGAGCTCAACGTGGACGTAGCTTGTTCAATCTTGAACAAGTGAACCACGGTAAAAGATCATGAGTTGTTCTTTCCTGCTTTTGAACTTTGTTTGGTTGGTTAGAATCTTGATTTTTGGTTAGGTAGACTAAGTTTTATAACAGTGGTATCAGAGATGAGTTTAGGGTCCCTCGAATTTTACATTCTAGGGTTTTCTTGATTTGGGAAATTTTCTAGGGTTTGAAAAAATTGGGGCTTTTTCAATTAAGTAGTTCCTAGAGTCCTAGGGTTCCAAATACAACAAGAATTCGCAAAATCTCAGTGAGTCAAGTCCATCATCATAATCTTGATTCTTTAGGGTTTTCTTCTGAACCCAATCCATGAGTATCACGCACATGGAAATCTCCCAATATAATGGGAAGATTGATTTCAACACTTGGAAAAAGAAAATGAAGGCCCTCTTATCCCACAATAAGGTGGGAATTGCACTAGAAAAGGATACCACCAAATGGCCTGAAGAAAAGCTGAAAAAGAAGGCAGAAGTAGATGAAGAAGCGTATAATTTGATTATCATGAACCTGTCTAACACTATGCTGCAGAAGGTGGGTGGCATGGAATCTCCAATCGCTCTCTGAGGTAAACTCGAATCTTTATATGCTCTTCAGTTAGCACCTAATTTAGCTTTTTTAAAAGGTGCATTATTCTCATATAAAATGGACATAGCTAAATCTTTAGATAAAAATTTGGATGAATTTCTAAAGATGACCCTAACTCTAAAAGGTACAGACCAAGAACTAGGAGACTTTAGTCTTGCTATGATTTTGTTGAACTCCCAGCCAGAAGAGTATCTAGTTGTAAAGAATGTCTTATAGTATAATGGCACAGTCCCTAGTGTGGATTTGATAGTTTCCGGGTTAAAATCTAGAAACTAGAATTGAAAATTCAAAAAAGAAATGATAGTAATCTGTTTGTAAAAGGTAGGTTTGATACTGGACAGTTTGGTAAAGAAACTGGAAAGAACTCTTAGAGTAACTTAGGCTCTAAAACCAGAAAGAAAGGTAAGGGGGATGGGAAATCTAAGGGAGAATCTAGGAAGTGTTTCTTTTGTAATAGAACAAGGCATCTTAAGAAAAACTGTTACGAGAACTAGGAGACTCTAGTCTTGCTATGATTATGTTGAACTCCCTGCCAGAAGAGTATCTAGTTGTAAAGAATGCCTTACAATATAGTGGCACAGTCCCTAGTGTGAATTTGATAGTTTTCGGGTTAAAATCTAGGGAACTAGAATTGAAAATTCAAAAAAGAAATGGTAGTAATTTGTTTGTAAAATGTAGGTTTGATACTGGACAGTTTGGTAAAGAAACTGGAAAGAACTCTCAAAGTAGCTTAGGCTCTAAAACCAGAAAGAAAGGTAAGGGGAATGGGAAACCTAAGGGGGAATCTAGGAAGTGTTTCTTTTGTAATAAAACAGGGCATCTTAAGAAAAAATGTTACGAATGGCTTAAAAAGAACAAACAGGCCAGTACTAAAACCAACCTAGCTAGCACAAGCAGTAACATTGAGATCTCTGAAGCACTTACTATTTCTAATGCTGCTAGGGTTAATGAGTGGGTGTTAGACTCAGGGCGTACTTTCCATATGAGTCCAAATAGAAATTGGTTCCAAAGACTTAAAATTGGTGAACAAGAAACAATGTTCATGGGTAATAATCATTCCTGTGAGGTTCAAGGCATAGGTGACATGACCATTAGGCTGAATGATGGTAAGGTGGTTCTGCTAACTAGGGTTAGATACATACCTGAACTCAAGCGTAACCTAATTTCTCTAGGAACATTAGATGAATCTGGTTGTTCCTATAAAGCACAAAATGGTTGCCTCGAAGTGTACAAAAATGGTAATGTATTGCTTAAGGGTGTTCAAAAGAATGGCTTGTATATCTTATGTGATCACTATTATCCTGATGTGTTAAATACTGCTCTACTGTCTACTAACGTGTCTGCTATAGAGAAATGGCATTTGAGATTGGGCCACATAAGCCACAATGGCATGAATGCACTTATACAGTAGGGCTATTTTGGTAATGATTTTGTTTCTGATTTAAATTTCTATGAGACTTGTGTTCTTGGTAAACAGCACAGGATGAATTTCCAAAAAGGAACTCATCTTGTTGCAAATTGTTTGGACTATGTGCATGCTGGACCCTTGGGGTCCAGAAAGTGTCAAGTCACATGGAAGGAACACATATTTCCTCTCCATTATGGACAATTACAGTAGGAAGGTATGAGTATACTTTCTCAAGACTAAGGATGAAGCCTTGACTAAGTTCAAAGGCTGGAAAATCTTGGTAGAAAACCAAACAAACAAAAAAGTCAAGGCCTTTAGGACTGATAATGGGTTGGAATTCTGTAACCTAGAATTTGACACTTATTGTAGTAATTAGGGGGTATTAAGGCATAGGACGATCATGGGAACCCCACAACAAAATGGGGTTGTAGAGATGATGAATAGAACACTTCTAAAAAGGGTTAGATGTCTTTTGTTTACTGTTGGTTTGCCCAAAACCTTCTGGGGAGAAGCTCTAACCACCGCAACTTACCTAAGCAATAGGAGTCCATCAAGTTTGATAGGATTTAAGTGTCTTGAAGAGAGATGGTCAGGGAGCAGACCAAACCTGAGTTACCTAAGGGCGTTTGGGTGTGCAGCTTATGCACACACCCGAGATGGTAAGTTAGAGCTTAAGTCCCTAAAATGTGTATTTTTAGGGTATCAAGAAGGGACCAAAGGCTATAGGTTGTGGGAAAGGGATGCTCCAGGGGTTAGAGTAATAATCAGTCGTGATGTAGTCTTTAATGAGACCATGTTTCCTTGTAAGCTTTCTATCAATAATGTAGGTAAGTCAAGGAGTGAACCTAAAAGGTCTGATCAAGCTGAGAGATCCCAATTTGAGGTGGACCCAGCAAGTTTGACTGAGCACCCTGAACTACTAGAAGCTACTGAATCGAAAAATGACCCACTGCCTCACAATGAGGACCAAGATGAAGAAGGGGAACATGCTGAAAACATTGATGAAGCCCAAAATTACAACTTGGCAGAATATCAGCTAGCTAGAGATAGAGTGAGGAGGGAGATTAGACCCCCCACCAGGTTCAACTATGCTGACCTAATCTACACAGTCTTGGTTGCTAGTGTATAGATCCAAAAGTCTAAGCCTGAAACCTATGAAGAAGTCATGAGCTCTGGAGACAGAGACAAATGACTGGCAGCCATGAAGGAAGAAATGAGGTCCTTGAAGCTGAACAAGACTTGGTCTTTGATGCCAAAACCAACCAAGCAGAAGCTGTTGGAGTGCAAATGGCTCTACAAGTTAAAGGAAGGCATAACAAGCTCAGACCCGCCAAGATACAACGCCAGACTTGTGGCTAAGGGTTTCACATAGAGGGCAGGTATTGACTTTACTGAAATCTTTTCACCTGTAGTTAAGTTTAAAGCTATTAGGCTAATGCTTTCAATTGTAGCTCATTGTGATTTAGAATTGAAACAATTGGATGTTAAAACATCATTTTTGCATGGTGAATTGGAAGAAAAGATATTTATGAGTCAACCGATTGGGTTTAGGATAGGAACCAGCTTGAACATGTTTGCCTATTGCATAAGTCTCTTTATGGCCTTAAACAATCCCGTAGGCAGTGGTATAAGAGATTTGACTCATTCATAGTAGGAGTTGGGTTCATTAGAAGTGAATATGATAATTGTTTCTATTTTGCTTGCATAAATAACATGCCTATATACCTACTGTTGTACATAGATGACATGCTATTAATATGG